AAATGATTCTTTTTCTCGCATCCAGTCCGTGACGATCCACAGGCCCGTGTGCGCATGCGCAAATCGTCTGAACAATACTGTAGGGAGTGGGGGTGAGACGGAGACTTCTCTCTCGCACAAAAGGTTTTCATTCACGGCGCCGGATTTAGGGATTGAAGCTAGAAAATTGCGTTCAACTTTGAATCCATAGGAGATTCGCGGGTACGATCAAGACAAAATTTGTGGTAAATTTTCTAATAAAAAATATGGAAAAAAAAAAAAAATTCATTGATTCAATGTCAAGATATAAATAGCAACATATATTAGATTCGCTCTGAATAAATAAACAAGCTATTGAAAAAAAAACACTGATATTCCGAATTACAAAAAAAAAATTTATCAACTTCAATTTTTTTAATGGAAAACATTTTTTTTTCCCATCTGATCTTCACGCGGCTCTGGGGGATGAACGGTTGCGAATAGAGGTAAAGTGCCCTAAACATTTTTTGTGTAGAATTTTGATCTCTACAACTTTGTGTAATACGTTTTTGGACGCACAGCGCGTTATTCACGAGTTATTTCGAAAAAACTGTTTTCAGGGGTAGTTTTTTGGCTTTTTCAACCCCCGCACAAACTTGGGGAACCTTAAACATTCGCCATTAGTTTCATACGCCCAAATCACAAATTCCATAAAAAATGGAGCCTGTATCGCAAACATTCGTATGTTAGACCGACGTTCATTGGACTAGTCGGAGATCCGTTCGGGGTTTCTCCGCGCTTTTGAAAATTCATTCCTCCGCTCCTACTTGAGATTAAGGAATGAATCCGTTGTCATTTATTGAGAATTTAATTCTCGATCGATCGGCATCGGCTTCAATCCTTCATCTCAATTAGGGTGGGAGAAATGAATTTTCCAATCGGGGGAGTCCCTCCGAGCTCACTCGACGTCGGAGAGCCGTTCGGGGTTTCTCCGCGCTTTTGAAAATTCATTCCTCCGCTCCTAACGGAGATTAAGAAATGAAACCGATGTCATTTATTAAAAATACAATGGTCGATCGGTAGGCTTTGGTTTCATTTCTACATCTCAATTAGGGAGGGGAGAAATTAATTTTTGAATGAGAAGAACTTGTCCGGAGTTACTGCACGATTTTAAAATTCATTCCTCCTCTCCTAATAGAAATTAAGCAATGAAACCGCTGTCATTTATTTAGAACATAATTCTCCATCGATCGATATTGCTTTCATTCTTTCATCGTAATTAGGGGGGGAGAAATGACTTTTCCAATTGGGGGAGGCCCTCCGAAGAGCCGTTCGGGGTTACTCTGCGCTTTTGAAAATTCATTCCTCCGCTCCTACGTGAGATTAAGGAATAAAACCGCTGTCATTCATTGAGAATTTAATTCTCGATCGATCGGCGTCGGTTTCATTCCCTTCTCTCAATTAGGGGGGGGGGGGAAATGAATTTTCCAATCGGGGGAGCCCCTCCGGGCTCACCGTTCGAGGTTTCTCCGCGCTTTTGAAAATTTATTCCTCCGTTCCTATCTGAGATTAAGAAATGACACCGATGTCATTTAATAAAAATATAATTCTCAATCGGTAAGCTTTGGTTTCATTCCTTCATCTCAATTAGGGAGGCGAGAAATTGATTTTTGAATGAGAAGAACTTGTCCGGAGTTACTGCACGCTTTGAAAATTCATTCCTCCTCTCCTAATAAAGATTAAGCAATGAAACCGCTGTAATTTATTGAGAATATAATTCTCCATCGATAGATATTGCTTTCATTCTTTCATCGTAATTGGGGGGGGGAGAAATGAATTTCCCTATCGGAGGAGCCCCTCCGGTTAGTCCGCACTTTTGAAAATTCATTCCTCCGCTCCTACTTGAGTAGGATAGAATAGAATTTCCCGAAGATTCCAAAAAGCTTCATTGTTCTTCGTGCATGAAAAATGGGGATCTTCGGGAAACTCCTTGCGATCACAAGACTTTTACCGATTTATTTTTCTCCGTGTGACGTCCGTATAGAAGATCAAAAAATCAATTTAACTTTGGGATAAATGGAGAGGAGAGAAAAACGTGAATATCTCGGAAATTAGATGCGACAAAGTGGGCCCTTTTCACGTGGACGTACACATATAATTGGACTGAAATTTATAGAAATTTTTAATTTGCAATGACGAAATTCCTTGAAATTTCCGTATTACGGCAACGCTATAAAAATTCCCAATAAGTTCCCGGAATTTCTGCGAAAATATTACTGAAACTTACAGACATCATTCCTGATTTCAAGACATTCCTTTGATTTTCAGGATCATGTCACTAGAAATTTTTTACAAAATGACTTAATTTTAACATTGCTTGCTCATTGCATTTCAGAAATGCAGCTGCCTAAAAAAGACACATCGATTCCTAGGAACAACGTTTTTTTTTCTCGGTAAATACAGACAATAGAGAAATGTCAGAGTACAGTGAATAAACTTCACTCGTCAAAAACTCCATAATGGCAGAGTTAAATTCCCTGATTTTTTTTCACTCTCGATTAATTTTTTAAAGATTCAAATTGATACTTAAGTATCAATTGATTCATTCACATCGTTCCATTCCATCGGGAGATATTGTCGATTGGAGACAATTTTTTATGGTCACTGAAGAATGCAAACCATTCATTTAAATCTCGCAATAATCTGCGAAAAGTCTCATTCGTTAATCTATTATTATTGATTTAATCCCATTATGTGTATGAGATTTGTTGAGATATAATCTCTCACAAATATTGAATATATTTCTCATCAAAATAATTTGAAATTCATTCATTACCTTTGTATCACTGACAAAATATGTAATAAATGTGAATAAGATGAATTGCTCGTATGTTTTTTTTTATTAAAGATCTAGTTGTATAGCAATGCAAATAAATGATCGTCTTTCGCTCAAGACTTCATAATTCCTTCTCTCCCTCTCCTTTATGATCAACTAATTTACAAATTAAGACAATAAGAAGTTGTATGAACGAAAATGGGATAATCAAGCGGATGAGTGAATGCAAAGGAGGTTTCATGTTGGATTTAAGATTGGGAACGCATCCCTGTTATCGACTGTTTCCATGGTAATAGATGAAAATTTCTTTACCCACAGAGACGGCCTCTCGATTAGTTCATGCGCGCCACCGCTATGAAACTCTAATCGAACAGTTCCCATAATCCTGAGCAATCTCCCCTATTATCTCTGGTTGAACACTTTACATTGGCCCTGCTCATCTCCCCTATAAAATCTCTGTTCTCACTTGACGACGTGATTTGTAGAGTTGTGTAAAAGTACGAACATCTCACCCCCCCCCCTCCTTAACGGCAACCATCTGAAGGCCATGAAGAATAGAGGATGCTGAAGACGAAGGACGAATCCTTCATTGGTTATCCTCAGTAGCGTCTTACCGCCATGAAATGGTCAAGTGTCATCTGTTTTGGGTTTGTCGACGAAAATTTTCACACGAATCGCGATAGAAAAAATGTCATGGATGACTTGAATCAACTGAGTGTTGAACCAGTGTCAGTTACTACTGAATGTTGATGGGCTGCCGTCCAAATGTGCATGGTATTACTCCGAAGGGAAAAGGGTAAGACGTTTATTTTGACTGTCATATAATTTTACAAAACTTGTGGAAACCACGCTTGGATAGATTCACCACGATTGGGAGATGTGTTGGGTGTTGGATCAACCTCCCCCCATTTAAAGAGGGATGCTCTGCCACTAGTGGGAGTTTATCACCAAATTCTCGGGTGCCTATAGTTTTATCTGAAAAAAGTGAGAACGTTTCCACAAATTTGAAATATACTTAATAATTATATTAAACGATTCACCACATTTCATATTCCGCGAGATACCGTAAGACATCGGCATTCGTATTCTATTCTCCCCGTTTTTTTTCGCATAATAAAAATATGTCTCTAAGACTTTTTGTTTTGCGCTTACTATATATGTGTGGGTGTAACGACTCGATTGAATAAATTCAATATGTGCTGAATGGAATTAAACAAATGTGACAGATGACAACTGAGTGAGGTCCGTTTGATCGATTGTGTTCTCTTTAACTACACATAGATAAAATCAGCATTTCCAATTGGGAAGAAAATTTTACAAAAAATGAGGGAGGCACAAGTCAATAAGTTTCCAGTTTAATTGTTAATTTTTAAAAATATAGATATTTATTAACAATCCGTATGATCATGCATGTTGAATAAACCCAGGCGTTACTCACTCCATAATTGAGTGACACCATGATTTCGAAATGAAGTCGATTTCGGATGATTTCAGTGGTGATATCGAACGCCACAGGAGATGATTTCATGATTTCGAATGATTTCATTAATTCGAAATCGGTGATTTCAGAAAAAATGAAGTCATTGAAATCACGATGAATAAAGTTAATAAATAACTAGCGAACAGGCGCTTGGCGCCCGTCGCTGCATTAATTTATACTATGTTATTTTATTTTCTTTCCATTTCTTCACAATTAGATTGATTTAATTTTATTCATTCTTATTGTTATTATACGTATTTTTGCTCCTTAATTCACAAGTTACAACATTGAATGAAAAGGAATTCCCCATAAATCACGTGAGAATACAGATCGCCAAACAATTTTCGACAATCATTTCTGTAATTTTTCATTTCTTTCTTTTTCTTTCAATTGATTAGTACCAATGATCTGAAAATGTGAACAAATATGAACATTTTACATCCCTTCGGTCTCATTTCAATGGACCCAAAGAAGGAAATTGTAAAGAGAAAAACTCAATTTTTCTGTCTTCGAAATTTTTCAAATTGCTTTGTTCTTCTTAAAAAATGAAGGGAGATTAACGTTTTTAATTTCTGTGATCATATTCCGTTCACAGCAACAGTTTAATTACTGTTTACTCATAATTATCAAAGGACATTTTAGAACTCTTTATAACAAAAAGAAAGTGGATTTTCCAAAGACGATACATGAAAAATACATATAAAATGATTTAATAATAATCAATTTTTTACTCTAAAAGTAATTTTTCCAGAATGGTGATGAATTTTTCCCCTTTCAAAATTTTACCAAAAATCAATTCAATGCCAAACAATAATGTTTTCAGAAGTTCGATCAATTTCAAACCTAGGGAACATGACGGAGAGCCTAGGGGCCCCAATCGTTAGTTGCCTACGCTGTACAGGAATAGGCAAAGTCCAGGTAGCTCAGAGAAACCTCAAACTTGCAAGAGGAAGCCTATATACTTTATTGGCCTTCCAATTATAGGGGTCTTAGTACGATCATAGTGGGGGTAGCAGTGGGGACCGCAGTAGCAGTGTACTGGGGAGCGTTCTATGTAGAGCGCCCCAAATGATAAATGTAGAAGATGAGAATCCGCTAAAAACTCCATAATATTTATTTTTCTTTTTTTATCCAATTATTTGGTTATGAAATGAATTTACATACCCACATTATATAAGAATATTTAAAAATTTGAATTTTTCTTGAAGTCCTTGAAGAATTCACTTTTCAATCTCATTAAAAAAAATCAATTGGGTCGTGCGTTTCCTAATTGATATTTGTTGAAAGGAAAAAGGCAATGCATGTTCATGTTTCTGATTTTGCTGAAGCTTCTCATATAGTTTTATCATCATCAAAAAACTACAAAATTTTCGTTCCAAATTTTTCAAAATTTTGTTAAGCTCACTCAAATCTTTAATTTCGTGTAAATACCGATTGGAAGTAGGAGACGTCTTTGGGCTCGTCGTCAGCGTGCTGGCCCTATAAACCAAAGCGTCCCAGTAGCGCAGGTTCGAGTCCCGGTGATGAAAGATTTTTTCATCGCCGGAAAACGAACCCAGTGCATGTGGAGTTAGTTATGTGGAGTTAGATATAAGTTAGCTTAGAGGCAAGTGCGGGTAGGGAATTAGGCTGGGGTACCGCGTAGTTACTGGGACGGGTAGGTAAAAGACCACAACGGTCATACCATCTGGCACCACCCAATTTACTGATTGGAAGTCCAACATAGCAAATAAAAAAAAATTGAATATTGAAAACAAATTCAAAAACCAAACTTAGATAAAATTATTTTTGGATAGAATGGTGTGAGAACCCACTTTGATTCTTCAACATGTTCCGTAGAAACTTTACTGGTGCTTTGAGCAAGAAAATGAAAAATCTGCAACCCTGCAAATTTTCAACTTTTTTGGCAATTTTAAGCTATTCCCGGTGGAATGAGTTAATTAAAAACATGCTCAATTGAGGAAACGGAAAATTTTCGTCGTAATTAAATATTGAAAATTGAAAAAGAAATAATTTATCCTTTCCTATCCTTATATATAAAGAAGAGCATCGAGAATCTCAAATGAGCACTCGAACAGCACTCGAATGAGAATCGATTGTAAAAAAAGTCGAACTCGAAACTCGAACATGAGAACAAGCTTTGGTAAAATCATCAACAGATGGCATTGCTAGGGAAATGGGCGCGAATTTCAAAAAATATTTCTTATCGGAAATAGAATACAAGTACGTTATCTTATAGATCGGTAAATTGATATATACGTTGCGTATTATAAATATGAAAGGGAGCCCCTTCATCTCAACTGAGATAGTAATGCAAGGGGGGGGGATGCATAAATTTCAAGGCGAAAAGTTTTTTCCACCCAATTCTTTTTTTTTGACCCGTTGAATACTAATATGGAGGTTCCCAAGTCAAACTCCTGTGAGATTTTTTGTTGTTAACGAATTGTTAATAAACAATTGGAAAGCCAACTTTTCCGATGATAATTTTTTTTCCGTAGAACACACCTGATTTCAACGGGGGTAAGTCTTCAAACATTTGTCCGTATTTACAGCGATTTTATCAATAAAATTTCATGAACAAATGATTTTTAAAGTATTTTTCAATATTATTTGCTGATAATGTTGACTGAAATTTTTTTTTGCATTTCACGTAGTTGTATGGTTTTTTCATATGATATGTCGGTGATTTATAAAAAAATCTACTTCGTTAATTCTTTTTCAATTTGCTTAAATAAAAGACGAAAAATATCACAATCAATTTTCATTAAGAAAATTTTCTTTTCTGAATATTGCAGATATTTTAGTGAAGATAAGTCCTTATGATTTTTGCCTTTAACTCGACTGTTTGTTGAGTGAAAAATGATAAATAAATTCGTTGGTCATTGTTTATCACTTTTTATTTAACAGACAGTTGATTTGAGGGGAAATATCATGAGGACTAACCGTCCTTGAAATATCTTGAATCTTCAGAAANATATCATGAGGACTAACCGTCCTTGACATATCTTGAATCTTCAGAAAAAAAAGTTTTCCCATTAAAAATCGACTTTTTTTCATCTTTCGTTTAAACAAATTATTAGAAAAAAATTATCCGGTTTACAGGAAGTAGATTTCTTCATGAATCACTTACGTATCATATGAAGAACCTATGCAATTATGGGAAATGCGAAAACAAGTTTCAGTCAACATTTTCAGTGAACACTATAGAAAATACCTTGAAAATCATTTGTTTATGAATTTATATTGGTGGAACCATTGCAAATACGGAAAAATATTCAAGGACTTATTCTCTTCGAAAACACCCGAATTCTATAGAAAAACTTTTTCCGTACCGGCGGGCGCAAAGTTACATTTCCCTCCCGCTTCGCGGGAAATAAAGGAAAATAAAGGATCCTCAGCCGCCAGTGCAATTACCAGCCGAGCCGAAGGCGAGGTTGGTAAGCACGCGGCTGAGGATCCTTTATTTTCCCTCCCTAGGTTAGAAATATACTATTTCCGGCCGAAATAGCCGAGATGTCAATTGTTTATCAATAATTTGTTAGTAACAAAAAATTCTAAGGAATTCGCCTCGGGGACCTTGATATTCGGATTCAACGGGTGAGAAAATGGAGAATCCATCGCAGGGAATGATTTATAGGAACTTGAAGGAAGTTCGCAGGATTTCTAAATAATCATAACATTGTCGATTACTTTCCAAAATTGAAGATGATTCGGGAACTTTCCAACGAATGCAACACAATTATGAAGTTTTTCGCAGTAATGTGAGAAAATCCGTGTTTTTAGAAAATTAGCGAAAATTTTCGGTATCTCTCAAATATTGAAAATTTTTGGAATAAACAATGGGGAAATAATTGATATGCGAGGTTCGAATTTTCCAAATCAAACTGATATGAAGGTGTCGCGTGACCCCGCATACTGCACTCTGACTGGTTGAAATGAGGAAGGAGAAAACATTTAAGTTCCACGGATTTTTTTCAACAATTTTACACAATGTTCAAGTTAGAAAAACAAGCAGGGGTAGAAGCCTATCTGGCAGAAGTCATGTGACCGTTACTTTATGCGTCATTACTATTTTTTTCTCTCTCTACCAATTACATTGGTAATAAACTTCCGAATGGAAGCAATACCAATTTCACACGTAAAAAATCAGTCATTCAACGTAGGCAAGAGTATCAACGTAATATTTACATGAAATGTAATATTGATTAACGAACGTACTTTGACTAATCGAAATTAATATAAAATTTACAAATCTTACATAATTAGACCACGTCAACCTTTGTCTCTGTCACACCTATGGCTATCGAATATTCATCACATATTAGATTGTATGAAGTATAAAAAAAAACATGGATTTGTATTATATGACTTTTAAAGTCATGCAGAGATGGAAAACATTGATAAAATAACAATGTGCGATTTTTCAGAAAAAAAGCGTTTCGGATGAATTACTCTACGCCAGGATGTACTGAATCGATTAACACAAAATTTTACACACGAATGTGGGCCAATCATGCAAACTAGCAGCCAGAATCTCAGGTGTTTAGTCCAAGTTTAACACGTATTATAGAGACCACATTGAATTTTAATTTAAAAAATTAGAAAAACGCTGATATCTCGAAAACTTTGTATAGGAGGGTATGCATATTTTGATTGATCTTGATAGAAAATACCATGACAAATATTTTGAAAAAAAAAGTCAATCGGACCAGTAGTTTCGGAGATATTGAGCATAACAGTTGTTCCCAAAAAGTTGAATATCTCCTAAACTACTCATCCGATTCAGTCCATCCACAATCCCATCCTGTAATATTATAAGAACTACAATCGTACCGAATTTCAACTTTCTATCTTGATTTTTCGGGGCGCTATCGTGCTTACAACAATTTTTTCATAAAAATGAAAAATGCCAATACCAAACTGTCTATAGTTACATAGCAATATTATGATTTGATCCGATAGATATCATCACAAAGAAGATTTTGACGTCAAAAAAATTGAATCAAGTCACGTCGTTTTTTAGATATTGAGGAGCAGAGATTTTCTAGAAATTGCTGTATCTCAGAAACTACTGGGCCGATTGAACTGAAACTGCGCCCAGAAATGCTCCAAAGTAATACCAATTATGTGACGAAATTTCAGATTTCAAGCTTCAGCTTTAGTCCTTTTTGTGTCGTGATTTATAAAAATTTTCGAAAAAATCGACACACTTTCGGACACACACATACATGGTCCTCAAATTTTGTATTTTTTCATTTCAGACCATTCTACATCATTTCCAAGCAAAATTAGCGAATCGAAAAATCGACCGATTACAATGCTTCCATTCGGAAGCAAAAATTACAAGAATTGCTGGATTTTATAGAAGGTTAGGAAAATTTCAGATTATTTCTCGAAGGTACAAGTTCATGGAATAAAGGGAAAGGCGACGATTGAAAAATCTTTAAATAGAATTCAGTTCAAAATTATATTAAAAATCTTATTCAGTGACCCTAGAAATTCCACATTAGTGAATCACTTATTGAAATATTGAAATTGAATAGGTAATGAACTGAGACGCATCGTTCTCATTAATCTGACACTCAGTACAATGAAAACGATGATGAATAATTAATTTTGATACAAATGAAAAAGAAAAAAAGGAGAGCAGACATAATAACAGGACATCAACGTCGCGGCTGCACTCTGATTGGTTGAAATGAGAATAAAGAAAATAATTTTTAAAAACACGAGAGAAACAGCGAATGCTCTTAACAATTCTACAAATTCGTCAGGTTACATGAAAAAAAATTCATAAGATTTTGTAATCTTATGTAAAATTTGACTAAATTGCAGATGAATGATCCAAGTTTCTGATTGATGGAATCCTTGAATGGTATAGTGAAGAAGATCATGAATAAGGAGAAAATACTCCGAATTAGTGAAAAGCCATCAGAATTTGTTGGATAATTTTCCCAGACAAATAATTGAATGCTTTCGCAGGGAAGTAAATGGGGATGAAGGTGGAGGCAAAAAATTGAAAATTCTGGGGTATATTGAATTTCATGATTATTATGATTGAATCAGAAGTATTGTGTCAGACTCTGAAGGGAATTCCGACTTGAATTACAATTGAAATCGAGAATCTATCAGATCTTATTCAGTAAGCACAGAAATTCAAAATTAAGAAATCACTTATTGAAATATTGAAATTGAACAGGTGGTGAACTGACATGCATTGTTCTCATTAATCTTAATATTCAGAACGATGAGAACGCTGATAAATGATTAATTTTTGAGAAAAAAGGAAAGAAAAGAAAAAAAAAGAGGAAAAAACATAATAAAGGGGCAATCAACGTCGCGGCCGCTTGCGGCCGCGGTGGCGCTAGTATTAACAAAGACATGGGTCACTAATCGAACATGGCGGATCTCATGGGGATAATCGATTACTTTGCATTCGTTTTCGATTAATCGAATAGAATCGGGCATCACATCAGCTGATTAGTACAAGGTTACGGAGAAATATCGCAAGATGGCAGTGTAAAAGATGATACCTCAATGTTTCAAGAAAATGCGCGCGAATCTAAAAGCGGGCTTCTAGCCCCAAATAAGAAACAAACACCGTGCAAGCATAAAGTACATCAGAGCATGTTTCCTACACATGTATTTGATTATAATGAGTTGAATCAGAAGTTATTTATCAGCGATAAGTGCTAAGAACTGACATACTAATTGGAGTGATTGATAATTAGATTAACTTGAATGCCAAGGGTGGAATCAACAAAATTAATCTCCTGCAGGGACCACAAACGTTAGTCGGTATCGAAACGAAACTGCGTTTTTTGCGTGTCGTTACCAAAAACGAAAGTAAAAACGAAAGTCGACTAACGTTAGTGCCACAAACGAAACTAAGGAACGAAAGCCGACTAACGTTAGTGCCACAAACGAAACTAAGAAACGAAAGTCGACTAACGTTAGTGCCACAAACGAAACTAAAAACGAAACTCGATAGTTCCTTCTCGAATAAAAGCTCATGATGGAAATTTTCCGACGGAAATTTTTACTTACCGGTAAATTATTTTCAATATTGCATTTTTTTCGCCTCTTTTCTCGTGAAAGAAAATTAAATTGATTAAATATACATTATTTGATCATTTGAATAATGATTTATTCATATAATTTACGATCATTATATATCTATTAATCTTAGGCCCGGGTGCAGCAAACCCTGTTAACTAAAGAAATTCCAGGATAAAATCTATCGTCGGCGTAAACTATATTCTGAGAGTCAGATCCTTTGAAAATTCAACTCATTGACCATTTTGTTTTTCGCTCTATAACTTTATGTGAGTTGATTTTAATTTATTCTTGCTCCTGGAATGAATTCGAGATATTTTAATCCATTAAATAACTTTATGAGTTGACTGATAAGGTTTTATTTCCTTCTATTAAGCTCATTTTTTATTTCACACAATATCTAGAGATAACTAGATATAAGAAATCTTGTGAAAAAAATGGTAATAATAGGAAAAATGACAAGAAAAATATATTCGAAAAATAAAATATCTACGGGGCATTGCATGTTAACTCCACGTTGTGGGAACTCTCATCATCCTCGACCGTATAGGCCATTCTTTCTGTGGTTATGAGTGAAACAAGATGACGAATTTTCCGATTTCTTGCTTCCGAATGGAAGCATTGCAATCGGTCGATTTTCTCGAACCTCCAATTTTGCGTGGAAATGATGTAGAATGGTCTGAAACGTCAAGATAAAAAATTTGAGCACGGCGTCCGTCTGTGCGCATGGTCAGTTGGTGGTCACTTTTTCGAAAATTGGAGGGAAAAAAGGCTAAACTTATTCAAAGAAATCAAAAATTTCGTGAGATTAGTATAGGTTAGTATAGATACTAATAGCCTCTAAGTCTGTGCCTAATTTCAGCTCAATCGATTCAGCCGTTTCTGAGAAATCGTCACTTGTTTTGAAATGGTTTTTCGCAAATATCTCGAAAACTATCCAACCGATTTCAATTTTATTTCTTTCAAAATACTCGTGTTGATGTCTTCTATCAGAATCATTGAAAACATGTATACCCGTTCATAACCAGTTTTCGAGATATTTGCATTTTTCTGTTTTTTGCAAAAAATAATTGTTCGCACGCTAGCTTCTCTAAAAATTGATATTTCAACTTGAAATTTGGCACAACGTTTCCTCTCAGTAGTGAAATGATCGAGTTCCAAGATGAGGTGAATCGGATGGATGATTCCTGAGATATTCGTGTTTGTATCGAAATCTATTCTATTGAATATTTCAGAAACAAATTAATCGATTCAAATTTTCTTACTTCAAAAATATTCGTCTCGATTCCCTCTCTCACAATCATTCAAAATGCGCTCGATGCTCCTTATCTACGCTCGCTGAAACATATAGAGAAGTTTACATAAATTTTTTAAGAGATACTCGTTTTTTTTTCTCGAAGAACTCCTTGTTTTTCTCTGTATTTATTGCAAAAAACGACATATCAAGTTGGGATTTAGACAGTGTTACGTCAAGAATGGGTTACTTGACACAACTTTATTAAATTAAAATTCAATATACTGAACCAAAGAAACAAGATTAAATTCAAAGAAATTCGTCTCAAAATTAAGGAATACAAATTCGTCTCGAAATTAAGGAATAGAATTCAAGCACAAAACCCATTTACAAAGGTCCCCTTTTACTTCAATTTTCTAAACCCCAAAAGTATTTGGAATCAAAGCTTGGAAAGGTTCACTTGGAGTAAAATGAAAAGAATTTTGAATAACTTTAAAGTGACTCAATAGAGTCTATATTTTAACAAAACAAGTAGAAAAGTATAACTACAACATTCGACTTACATTCACTGCTCTGCTTTCAGTCGTAAAGTATTTTGTATGTGGTTAAAAGTAATGCCGCACTGAATTTAAGACGTTGGATTAAATTCTTTATTTAAATGAATCAAATAATTAAAAATGNGTTTATTGAAATTTATGGTCACACGTGGAAAGTGCATGACTAAGGAGACGAGACTAGACTCAAATGTTTACAGTGCATCTGATATTGCACAGCTGATATCTCCTTAATCTAGGAGAAACTCGACGTTGGGAACATTTTTATCGTTCACAGATGTGTGCAGCCGAAATATTCCTAACATCGAGGGGGTCACTTTCCCCGGTCACAGAAGATAATTTGGGTTTCAAAAGTCGCTTCTATCACTGAGATAATTGAATGACGACGTAAGAAAATGAATTTAAATGAATTTTCTGACGGATGTCACAACAGAATCTCCCTCTCATAACAACATTGTATGAAGAATTGCAACGGATTCTTTCGGAAGCTCACTACCAATGAAATTGGTATAAATGAAGGAAAAATAAAAAGAGTTGATACACAAAGTGACATCCAAATGGCTTCTACCCCTGCTCGTTTACTCATTTCGTCAGCATTTATGATGGGTTGTGCTATTTACTGACTTGTTATAATATATCACATTTATTACATAACACAAGAATTTTTTCTTTAATATCCCGCAACCTTTATTATATTCCACCAATTTCTTATTTGTAAACACTTCTATGAGTTCCATCTATGAACTGCCATTACCAACAAACAAAGAATCATAAGTGTCTGTATTTTTCACAAGTTCTTAACCGATCGATTAGTTTCAGCACTCTGTTTCCCTCGATACTGTTATATGTTATTTGGCCTAGAGTTAGTTTAACTTTCAGTTCGATTACATTTCGTATCTGACTCTTGAACCCCTTCAGCTTCCGAGAACTTGCCCTGTTGTTTCTCTCATTTAACTCTTCATATCAGAAAACATCGTAGAAAAAACAGAATCTTCTGTTCTTTTTTTTTATATGTGAGGCCAATGTTCACTTTTTAGTCTTTTTTAGTCTGGAATATACTTGGAATATATTATCTTTCTTGAGGAGAATAGAAGTGATTTTTCGTTTCGTTAACGAGGAAAATTTCATTTCTACTGTAATTCCCCCTACGAAGCTAAAAAACTCAATTCTTCTCTGTTTTGGATTTCTTCTACGACAAATTACTTATCATTTCATGCAACCATATGGGCGTCACCTTGAATTCTCATTGGAAGAAGAATAAAGAAGTCAAATCACCGTCTCATTGGGTGATGAATATCGATAAATGAATAATAATATTGATACATATAATTCCTCTATATTCCAACGACTGAAAATAAATAAATTCAACCGTTAGCATTTGATGAATAGATCAGCTACCATATAGCAATCTCCAAAAACGGGAAAAGACCAATAACACAAAGAACTCGGAAATGCTTGAGTACATCCAAGTACAGGATTTGAAAATTTATTCTGTGTGCGTTATAATTGCATCTTTCAAGCAAAATTTCTTAATTTTTTGAAAAAAGGTAAAAATACACCAAAAAAAAAACTTGATTTAAGATTCTGAATAACTCGAATTAAGACATTCGAAGATCTCAACTTGAGACATTCGTATGCCTCAAATTGAGATTTATAGTACTTAACTTAAGTATTATAAGTCTCAACTTGAGACATAGAATGCCTCAAGTTAAGACTTATAATACTTAACTTGAGACATTCGTATATCCCAAATTGAGACTTATAATACTTAACTTAAGTATTATAACTCTTAACTTGATACATACAATGCCTTAAGTTAAGACTTAAGTTGAAACATTCGATGCCCCAACTTGAGACTTATAATACTTAAGTTAAGTATTATAACTCTCAATTTGAGGCATTCGTATGTCTCAAGTTGAGACTTATAATACTTGAGTGAAGTATTATAAATCTCAATTTGAGACATTCGTATGTCTCAAGTTGAGACATTTGTAAGTCTTGAATTAAGATCGTAAGACTTCACTTGAGGTACGATTTTTTTAAGTAGGTGTCCAAACTTTTTTCCATTTTTATGTTGTTATTGCAAAATTCGCGAAATTCTCTAGCTGAAAAACATTTTCAATTAGAGTGGTCTCACTAATAGGGCGGTCGAATTTACCGAGAAAAGAATGAATTCATAAAACAATTATTTTTTTGAAAGTCTCTCATTATTTTAAAAAAATTCGAACATTTTTGTGATAACTCTTTTTATATTGCTAAATGAGATCTGCAAAAAATCCCAATAGAATCGTTCGATACATTGATATTCACAGATATTTATAAAAATATAATCTCCAAAATGAATTGGTGGAAAATTTTCTGAAAATATCTCGAAATCAGTGGGAAATCTTGTTTTTTTTTACCAGAATCTTTCTTGTAGGGCATAACGAGATCTACAAAAAGAAGTTCTTACCGAAAATCCATGTACCTTCTCTGCATTTTGAGATGATATGCGACAAATGATTTTTTAAATTTGCGTGGTCAATTATCATTCTCATCTTCACCGCTGAATGGAAGTAAAACTCAAATTACATTAAAATTTATAGAATTTTGTCTGAATGTTAGGTAAAATATGAAATATATGTACCACATCTTGTATATTGGCCTGATAAATAATCCATTGCGCATTTTATCATAAATCATGAGTTACAATAACATTATTTTTGGACAAACTATGGTGACAAACTTTTAAGACAAATTTTGATAAAATTTGACTTTGGTTTTGATTGAAATTTACAAGAATTTGACTTCCTATGTGCATGAGGGGAAAAACAAATGTTTCAAGCTGTGGTTAAATTATTTCCAAGTTTGATGTCTACTGATACCTTTGAAACTTCAAATTTCGAAAATTGCGAATTTTATAGGGATTATCGTATCAATAAAAAAATATTTCATTGCTATTATCACCTTACCGTCATCCCCCCTCCCCCCCCCCTTTTCTAATAAAGTATAAAAATTATCCAAGTTCAGACTAATTACTAGCGTTCGACTGCTGAAAATGAAATGGACAAATATAAGATTATTGTACTAAATCAAATTTATGTTACTGATGAGATGTTCATTGCTGTTAAATTTATTATTTCTTGATCAGTAATTCGTAAAATTATTCTCGAAAAAAAATCCTTCCCTCTACTATCCGGACGAACGCCGCGTAAAATGCGCAGTCAGAATTTCCGCTTCATATTTCTGGCAATAACGTTAGTCGACTTTCGTTTCTTAGTTTCGTTTGTGGCACTAACGTTAGTCGACTTTCGTTTTTCCTTTTGTTTGTGGCACTAACGTTAGTCGACTTTCGTTTATACTTTCGTTTTCGGCACTAACGTTAGTCGACTTTCGTTTCTGAGTTTCGTTTGTGGCACTAACGTTAGTCGACTTTCGTTTTTACTTTCGTTTTCGGAACTAACGTTATTATTTCGTTTCGTTTCCAATCTGAAAAACGAAACGAAAACGAAAGCGCGTTTTCAGTCCCTGCCCAAAAGACGCATGAACTTCCATGAGGTTGAGCAATNCGCGTTTTCAGTCCCTCATCTCCTGTTTTTCCAAGTCATTTTTTGTTTTTCGAGGTTATGTTTAATGAAGCCAAGCCTTAGGTATATCCCAAAATCAACGAATTTCAAATTTTATCCTTAAATAAAAACGTTGAAATACTTTTTATTTACAGATTTTCAATGGTCCAATTTCTTCATCAAATTGGCTAGGAAAAGTTCGAAAATAAAGCATGGATAATCAGCGTCTTTCGAACGAGATTCTGCAAATCATTGCTTTTTTTCGACATTCTTAGGAATGAATAATGGAAATGGCTCAAACTTTCAGAAGAATATTTTTAGGCATCCAATTAAATTTTGATGAAATTCTGAAGGGGGAAAAATTCGTTACAATTCAGAAACGATTATTTTTAGAGTGAAAAATATATTATTGAATTAGTTAAATAAACAGGCAGTGCGACAGAAGCCATTTGATAGATTACGTATGACTGCTGCTCTCCACGTATATTTCCCCTATTTTCATTTCTACCAAATTTCATTGGTAGTAGGCTTCCGAATGGATCCCAATGTATGTTTTCAAAAAATAAAGGCATACGGATTCCCATTTTTTGTAAATATTAAGGCCAATCGCACTCATTTTCCCCTAATTCTATAAAATAAATTTGCAATTTCATGCAACAATATTCATGTTATATGGCTTCCTCAATAATCCTGCTGTGAAAATGGACATTGAAATATAGATGCGTTATTTTTCTTTCTCAAAAATTTTGGGTGAATTATTTCACCTCAAGAACTATCAAATGCATAGACCTAAAATTTGGCATAGGAATGTTCCTTGACAGTCCTAACTAGAAACGAAAGTTTTGAAATTTTTCCCTGACTTTTACCCATGTTATAGTGCGCAAAAGTTCACTTCGAGTTTTTGAACTCCGAGCAAAAAATACAAAAACGGCGATATCTCGAAAAATTTCAATGGGATGGTACCCATATTTTATTGGATCTAGATAAATGGCATGAAAACGCACATTTGGAAAGAAAAAAAATGAAATCGGACAAATGATTTTTGAGATATTGACCACAAGATTTCGTTCATTCAGCATCCCAAACTTTTTTACCACGAAACCTAAAATCATACTAAGATTCAAGTGTCTATCTCGATTATTTTTCAAGTTTTCGTGCGAACCAGCAATTTCAAGGAAAAAAATGAAAAAACGAGAATAAAACTACATTTCTCAGGGAGTAATGGTCTTTTTTCAATCCAATTAAATAGGTATTATCGTGACGAGTATTTTGAAAAAAGAATCCAATCGGTCCAGGTGATATCGGCAAAAGACTATTTTCGAAGAATCGCTATATCTCAGGAACCGTTCAACTGATCGAGCTGAAATTTACCATAAATTTGAGTCTCAGTAGTACCAATTAGCAGCCAGAATTTCAGCATGTTTGCCTTAATAATTCTCGAGCTATGGGGACAGTTCTGAACATACGAACACACATGTGCACACATATACTTACTCATATA